CTGATATACACCTGAACATCAACAGGAGAGGGACTCTTTAAAGTAGAAGACACTACATACTGATATACAACCTGAACATCAGCAGGAGAGGACTCTTTAAAGTAGAGACACTACATACTGATATACACCTGAACATCAGCAGGAGAGGACTCTTTAAAGTAGATGACACTACATACTGATATACACCTGAACATCAAGCAGGAGAGGACTCTTTAAAGTAGAGACACTACATACTGATATTACACCTGACATCAGCAGGAGAGGACTCTTTAAAGTAGAGACACTACATACTGATATACACCTGAACATCAACAGGAGAGGACTCTTTAAAGTAGAGACACTACATACTGATATACACCTGAATCATCAGCAGGAGAGGACTCTTTAAAGTAGAGACACTACATACTGATATACACCTGAACATCAGCAAGAGAGGACTCTTTAAAGTAGTGACACTACATACTGATATACACCTGAACATCAACAGGAGAGGACTCTTTAAAGTAGAGACACTACATACTGATATACACCTGAACATCAACAGGAGAGGACTCTTTAAAGTAGAGACACTACATACTGATATACACCTGAACATCAGCAGGAGAGGACTCTTTAAAGTAGAGACACTACATACTGATATACACCTGAACATCAGCAAGAGAGGACTCTTTAAAGTAGAGACACTACATACTGATATACACCTGAACATCAACAGGAGAGGACTCTTTAAAGTAGAGACACTACATACTGATATACACCTGAACATCAGCAGGAGAGGACTCTTTAAAGTAGAGACACTACATACTGATATACACCTGAACATCAGCAAGAGAGGACTCTTTAAGTAGAGGACACTACATACTGATATACACCTGAACATCAGCAGGAGAGGACTCTTTAAAGTAGAGACACTACATACTGATATACACCTGAACATCAGCAAGAGAGGACTCTTTAAAGTAGAGACACTACATACTGATATACACCTGAACATCAGCAGGAGAGGACTCTTTAAAGTAGAGACACTACATACTGATATACACCTGAACATCAGCAAGAGAGGACTCTTTAAAGTAGAGACACTATATACTGATATACACCTGAACATCAGCAGGAGAGGACTCTTTAAAGTAGAGACACTACATACTAGGGGTGTAACGGTACACGTACCCGTACCGAAATTATTCGGTACGGGCCCTTCGGTTCGGTACAGGTGTGTACCGAAGTGTACCGAACGAATATAACGTTAAACGTAAAAAATTGAGAACATGAACAATTTTTTGGAAGTAATCTCAGGTGCTGCGTCGCAGCATTCAGAGTAATTTTCTCACATTGGGTTCAACGCGTCATAGAGCGAGCAAGTCATTTCATTGGATGAGAGGCATACTATGAGAGCTGGTCAGAGGGATGCGTTCAAATGTAGTCAGTAATTTGAGGAACTGTCGAAAATTAATGGCGAACGCAGATAAAGTTGAGCTCGAAAATCCTCCAGCATCATTGAAGTCTCCGGTTTGGGAACATTTTGGTTTCGCAGTTACGTACAAGGATGAAGGACAAAGACAGGTGGACCGAACCAAAGCTGTTTGTCGGCATTGTTCAACTAACATTGGTTCCGCGGCTGGCAATACATCAAACTTGCACACTCTTGAAAAGGCATCACCCGAACGTGAATATCACCGGTACCAAAAGAAAAAAGACTGAAGTGCAAACCCAACTCCCACTAGCATTTAAGCCTCCACCACTCGCAGAGAGTTCAGACCGAGCCAAAGCTATTACAAACGCCAAATATCCTTATGTTGCCATGTTAGCAAAGCGCTACCTGGCTGTACCTGCTACCTCTGTCCCTAGAGAGAGGGTGTTCTCCACAGCAGGAGACATTGTTAGTGCCAGCAGATCTGCCCTTTCGGCAAGCAATGTGGACAAGTTCATTTTTCTTTAAAAAAAACATGAAAATACAATGACAAGCAAGTCCTAATGTCAAACTGGCTGCTTAGGAACTAGTACAGTTCAGTTCAAATACAGATTATTTCAGTTCATCGAAAAGCTGCACCTTAATTTTTATTTTATTATATTTTGTATTTATTTAAGTGAATATTCACAGTTTAATAATAATTAAAAACCCAAAACTAATAGTTTATGTTTTGTGAGTACTAGTAGCCTACAGTAAAGTTCAAATACAGATTATTTCAGTTCCTCGAAATGCTGCACCTTAATGTTTATTTTATTATATTTTGTATTTATTTGAGTGAATACATTATTCACAGTTTAATAATAATAAAGAAAATATATATATATGTTTTGTTTTGTGAAAAAAAAATTCTGCTGTACCGAAAACGTACCGAACCGAACCGTGACCAAAAAACCGAGGTACGTACCGAACCGAAATGTTTGTGAACCGTTACACCCCTACTACATACTGATATACACCTGAACATCAACAGGAGAGGACTCTTTAAAGTAGAGACACTACATACTGATATACACCTGAACATCAGCAGGAGAGGACTCTTTAAAGTAGAGACACTACATACTGATATACACCTGAACATCAACAGGAGAGGACTCTTTAAAGTAGAGACACTACATACTGATATACACCTGAACATCAGCAGGAGAGGACTCTTTAAAGTAGAGACACTACATACTGATATACACCTGAACATCAGCAAGAGAGGACTCTTTAAAGTAGAGACACTACATACTGATATACACCTGAACATCAGCAGGAGAGGACTCTTTAAAGTAGAGACACTACATACTGATATACACCTGAACATCAGCAAGAGAGGACTCTTTAAAGTAGAGACACTACATACTGATATACACCTGAACATCAACAGGAGAGGACTCTTTAAAGTAGAGACACTACATACTGATATACACCTGAACATCAGCAGGAGAGGACTCTTTAAAGTAGAGACACTACATACTGATATACACCTGAACATCAGCAAGAGAGGACTCTTTAAAGTAGAGACACTACATACTGATATACACCTGAACATCAGCAGGAGAGGACTCTTTAAAGTAGAGACACTACATACTGATATACACCTGAACATCAGCAAGAGAGGACTCTTTAAAGTAGAGACACTACATACTGATATACACCTGAACATCAGCAGGAGAGGACTCTTTAAAGTAGAGACACTACATACTGATATACACCTGAACATCAGCAAGAGAGGACTCTTTAAAGTAGAGACACTATATACTGATATACACCTGAACATCAACAGGAGAGGACTCTTTAAAGTAGAGACACTACATACTGATATACACCTGAACATCAGCAAGAGAGGACTCTTTAAAGTAGAGACACTATATACTGATATACACCTGAACATCAGCAGGAGAGGACTCTTTAAAGTAGAGACACTACTGATATACACCTGAACATCAGCAGGAGAGGACTCTTTAAAGTAGAGACACTACATACTGATATACACCTGAACATCAGCAAGAGAGGACTCTTTAAAGTAGAGACACTATATACTGATATACACCTGAACATCAGCAGGAGAGCACTCTTTAAAGTAGAGACACTACTGATATACACCTGAACATCAGCAGGAGAGGACTCTTTAAAGTAGAGACACTACTGATATACACCTGAACATCAGCAGGAGAGGACTCTTTAAAGTAGAGACACTACATACTGATATACACCTGAACATCAGCAGGAGAGAACTCTTTAAAGTAGAGACACTACATACTGATATACACCTGATCATCAGCAGGAGAGGACTCTTTAAAGTAGAGACACTACATACTGATATACACCTGAACATCAGCAGGAGAGGACTCTTTAAAGTAGAGACACTACATACTGATATACACCTGAACATCAGCAGGAGAGGACTCTTTAAAGTAGAGACACTACATACTGATATACACCTGAACATCAGCAGGAGAGGACTCTTTAAAGTAGAGACACTACATACTGATATACACCTGAACATCAGCAGGAGTGGACTCTTTAAAGTAGAGACACTACATACTGATATACACCTGAACATCAGCAGGAGAGGACTCTTTAAAGTAGAGACACTACATACTGATATACACCTGAACATCAGCAGGAGAGGACTCTTTAAAGTAGAGACACTACATACTGATATACACCAGAACATCAGCAGGAGAGGACTCTTTAAAGTAGAGACACTACATACTGATATACACCTGAACATCAGCAGGAGAGAACTCTTTAAAGTAGAGACACTACATACTGATATACACCTGAACATCAGCAGGAGAGGACTCTTTAAAGTAGAGACACTACATACTGATATACACCTGAACATCAGCAGGAGAGAACTCTTTAAAGTAGAGACACTACATACTGATATACACCTGAACATCAGCAGGAGAGGACTCTTTAAAGTAGAGACACTACATACTGATATACACCTGAACATCAGCAGGAGAGAACTCTTTAAAGTAGAGACACTACATACTGATATACGCCTGAACAAATTAAAGATGGGCCTTTCAAAACAAGTGCTCCTTTTTCTGAGCCACCTTCATGATCCCCTCCCTCAGGAACAGATGCACAAACAGACATGTAAAGTGGCTGATTGGATAACTACAGGCATACCACCCCCCCCCCCCCCCCCCCTCTTCACAGTGGTGGTGGACATTCCTCACAGTGCTGCAAAACCTCAAACAAAGAAGCAAAGAAGTGATTTTTCAAGGGACGTCTGGAGGAAACTAAGGGCAAAAACAACACAGCGAGGAGGAAACGTGCCACTACTGGAAGTCGTTTCTCTCTCTTTCTGTTGTGGTGTTTTCTCTGTGGCTCGTTACCATTCATGAGTTATCGAGCCACAAGACAACAAAAAGCTTTCTCAGGACCACATCCTCGACTCCTCTCATGGTGTCGTTGCAGGACAGTATCGTTAAAGCTGACTGTATTTTTAGCAACACAAATGACAAGGCAGAGTAGAGATGGTGATATGGAGCATCAGTTACAGTGTGAGAGAAGAAGATGATTTACTCACCTGGGCGTAGTCCCTCTCTACTGCGGACCTCTTTTGGCTAAAAGTCCTAAAAGGGAAGAAGGAGAGTGAATGTTAATGAGCTTGAAATCACAATTATGGATGACTGGATAAGCAATATAGTACAGTTAAAGTACAGTACTATATACAGTTTAGATCAAAACTATGGTTCACGAAGCGCTGTGTAATATGAGGGTGAATACAGGCATATTGTACAGTAATATTATCCACTTTTTAAAAAGTAATTTATCTGCCAAAGTACAAAGATTAGTGTGGGGGAAACTTCTGAAGCAATTGGAGTCAGGACTCAACCTTTCACACCAAGAACCCGACTGGTGCTGCGGAACCCCCTCACATCGATAACAACAACGGCCGATTGTATTGAAGCGCTACTCGTTTTGCTCTGTCGAAACGAAATGGAAGAAATGGGACGACTTGACTACCAACTTTACAGTCGTTACATGCTACATTCAAAAGTTCTTTACAATCATCAACATCAACGACGACTCGGTAGGAGAAAGAAGGTAAATATACGTCCTATTCGATGGCGTTAGAGCTAGCTGTTGTTAGCCTCTGCATGCGCCAAGCTCAAATACCCAGCTTTGCAGCATTAATTACTATGGTATAACATTAAAACTGATTCTCAATGTCATTTCCACAGATCATGTTGAAGCTGGCGGAAAGGCGGATGTCGCGTTTTATTTGGACACAGCCCAGATCTTCAGACGTAAGCGTGACGTATGCGGTGCTTGCTTTCTAGACCGACAACTTGTTGGTGCTTGAAACGAACCGGATTCCGGAGCTTAGAGGCGGCTCCGCTGCGGTGTGAACAGGAAAAACCAGTGCTTTTCAAGCTCCAGCTCCGAACCGGCCCTGGAACCGCGTTGGTGTGAAAGGGGCATGAGACACATGGAGAGCTGGAGCTCTGATGGCAAACACTGACGGTTTATTTGGAGCTTCGGCCGGAGAATTCACACGACATGTCACGGGCCACGATCTGACCACACGGTTGAGATGCCACAATTACTTCTGAAGAGTCCTCCTGTAGCTCCAGGTTTTAACTAGTTCAGAGTGTGATAATCAACATGCTTCAATAGATAGACTAAACAGCTGAGGACACTGAATCACATTTGTTGTCGCTTATGGCTCGGGGTCATCTCCACCCCGAGAAGGATGTGTTCCAGGTCATAAACTGGCAACATCAACAACTTGCTAGGGCAGCCCCTCCTTATGGGAGACAACGGCTGATCAAGGTGGGCATCTGCGTCAGAGGGCGAAGGAGGACATGCAGGGCAAATGATTCCCCAACAGTTCACAGAGAGACCTGATATAATGCACATATTGTATTCTCAGGGTAAATTGCCATATTGTTATTGTAGTAGTTTTTCGTATGTTTAAAAATCTCGTTAACATTTTTTCTTAAACGTTTCAAAATGTATGATAGTTTCTTTAATATCTTTTGAAATAGTTGTGTATTTTCTCCTTTTTTAACAACTTATTTCCTCTAACTGAGCATATTCCTAGCACGTGTAAACTAACCATAAATCTGATTCTGATTACAAATGAAAATTGTCTCCACAACACCACGTGCAAATGATCAAATCTGCCGAGAAAATGCGAAGCATGTCTTTCTAATGCCAGCGTTTGACTCTTCCAGGCTTGATTTACGACAACAGGAACAAAGCTAATGATAAACTCAAGTTACATTTAAACAAAAGCCTAAGAAAAGAAGAGGGGTCAGAGTCCTGGGAACAACATTCACTGCAGCAGAATCCTCATTAAGTCATTAAACATGTTGAGACTCGACTGCGACGCTCCACCCGAGCTCTAAACAATCCGGCTCACTTCCTGGGAGCTTCCCTCTCTTCCCCCACGCGCACTTCCTGTCATTTTCCCGAAACAGAGCCTTTGCTGACATCCAGATGCAGTTTCCAGTTTGCTGAATCATTTCTCCTCCGAACTCGGGAGGTGAAGCCCTGCGAGTTTCGGTAGCAGAGGTGTTTCCCTTTGTGTCTGTTCAGAATGATGTAACCATAGCACATCTACTCCTAAGGGTTTACTGTTGCTGTCTTAGTGGGTCATTATGTCATTTATTTTGAGTATCTATTTTAATTAGTATTACTGTAACGGTCTTTTTACGTTAGTATTATTATGTCATCTTTTTGTTTGTTTTTTTAACAGCACCTGTATTTGCACTCTGTATTTTCTCCTGTTACTATGTTATGTGTGGAAAATCCAATAAAGTGTTCGAAGTACATTTACTCAAGTACTGTATTTAAGTACAATTCTGAGATACTAGTACTCTACTTAAGTATTTCAATTGTGTTTTGCTACTTCGTACTTGTACTCCACTACAATTCAGAGGTAAATAGTGTACTTTCACTCCACTACATTTATTTAATAATGTACTTTAATAACAGAGAAGAAACGCGTCTACTCAAGTGGTTTCAACAACAACAACAACATCGGAAAAACAAGTGCTTTTAATCTGAATCAAATCTTAACTTTTATTTGGCCTGCTCTTCCCATAATCTTGTTCCACAGTGTGAACCAAACTTGATATTTACTTGCCTATAATATATTATTCAGAAATGGACCAATCTAGTACTTTTCCTTTTGGTACTTTAAGTATATTCTGATGCTAACACTTTTGTACTTTTACTCAAGTAACATTTTGAATACGGGACTTTTACTTGTAACAGAGTATTCCTACACTCCTGCACTTCTACTCAAGTACAAGAGTACTTTTCACCTCTGTATGAGACCGAGCCTCCCACAGCGAAAGATTCGGAGCAGTGGGAACATCTGGCAGCTCTCACTGACCTTAACTTCCAGCTGTTTGGAGCTTCAGAGCTCTGCCACCAGCCACAGACAGGAAGTGGGGAGCCAGTAGGCCGTCAAGTCAACCCAACGCTAAGACTACAAAACACAACCTTTGGCTTTTCCACCTTTAAAATGCCTACGCATCTCAGCAAAGTGCTAAAGCTGTCTGTGTATCTCTAAGAACGGTGTTTACTCTGCCTAATCCAGCACTCCTAAAGACTCACTTTAATCTACGGATTTAAGATGCTGGTTTCCAACAGATGATGTCAAAACAATCCTCAAACAATCACAGGATGAGAGTAATTATTTACTTGTTCTGATATAACTCTCAACTAAGAAAACAGATTTATCTTAAGAGGATAATAACAACAGTCTACGTCAGGGGTGTCAAACTCAAGGCCCGGGGGCCAAATCCGGGCCGGGACCTCATTGTATGTGGCCCGCAAGAGCTTGCAAAGAATATAATATACAATACCATTGGTGTAACTGTTGAATATTTACTTTCAATTATTTGCCCTAGACTTCTGCTTTCAGACGTAGTTATTTGGGAAGATATGACCAGAACTGATGATATTCCAATGCAGGGCCAACAATGTAATATAATACATTATTTAATATATATTATATATATATGTATATTTATATATCATTAAAATTACAACCGACCCTTTGAGTAATGCTGATGTGGCCCGGGATGAAATTGAGTTTGACTCCCCTGGTCTACGTCTTTCAATTAGACGTATGGATAAACCAATCTAACCCTTTCATTAACTGACAGGATGTTTCACCGTAAAGGCGGAAACAAGCAGATTGGCATTACTATATTCGATGAACACATTCAAATAACCCCAATAGCAGATGTTTGGAGTATCAGTGAGAGGTCACGGTCACATTTCCCCAAAATATACATTTTCTTCCAATACTGAAGCAGATTTCCGATCTGAACTACATTCACGCATGTGTGTCTGTGCACTAACAAAGAGTTCTAAGGAGTGCTGCATTATGGGTTGTTTGAGTAAGTTTCTTCAAGTTTGTTTTCCAGCTAATTCCCATCTATCCTTCGCTAGAGTTCAACTTTGGTGAACTTTCAGGCAAATATGGCCTCTGCCAGCGATGGCAACTAGCCTGCATGTGTGACCACTATCACAGGCCCCTAAACAGTGTGGCACTGAGTTGTTTGAAGCCATGGTGTTTGTCTTCTAGCTCTAGGTAGCTCTAAGGTTTAAAGTAAGCTCACTTTAAGCTAAAGGTATTTCTAATGGCTCATTTGATGCGATTGCAGCTTCGTTTACTTGCAATGAAAAACGTATTAGTGGCAATCATTTGGATCCTTGCCACGATTGGAAATAAAAGTTACAATCAGTTGAAAGAATGTCTCGTGCAGCTCCGATCATTTAGGTTCTGCTCTAACAAAAAATGGTGGCACTGACATGTCATGTATCAGTTGAACAAGAAGAGCGGCTTAAATGATTGGGACTAAGGGTGTAATGGTTCTGAGACGGAGATGAAACTTGGACATGAGAGCATGAACCGCTTCATGCTCATTTCTTTACGAGGCAGAGCTCTCAGTACAGCTGCTAATAAAACTGAGATTGCAGTTCCTAATTCATGCCAAGCTGAATTATAAAACCTCCGTGTTATATAGCATTATGCTATTTGATTTCATAAAAGCCAAACTACACAAATAAATCTACTGGGAAAGATATCTGCTTTCAAAAAACATCTGTATATGTGTAGAAACGGCCTCATATTCAGGATGGCCTTATAAATCAAAAGGTATAATAAAAAAGAAGGTATAAATGTGGTATAACACGGTCGACTGCTCACCTCAGGTCTTCCAGGAGGTCACACTCCGTCTGGTGTTTGATTTGTAATCTGCTCATCTGCTCTGCATGAGTGTGTTTCAGCTCCTGGGTGACCCGGACCTGCAGGGGAACACAGACAAAGTATTTATTTAAAGTGATCTGGACTGTTTTCTTCAGCTCGTACAGAAAGACAAAGATATTTCTCCGTGTTGTGTTTGAGTATTGATTCCCAGATGTTTACCAACACCTTAAGAGGCAGTGTTGAATCAGCTGTTCTAGCAAAAGGTGTTAATGAAAATGAGACGCTCTAATTAACAGGCAGACACTCCGGACAGGTGACAGTTGGTCTCACTGGGTTTCTAATTGGCTGTTAGATTAATTAGGACGTACTGTGACCAGGTCTCATTACTCATAACTGGGAGTGTTGTTAACTTACTTATTTACTTCCATTATGAGCCAGATTTATGTTCAATAGTTGCAACTAAAATAGAGTTTTCAACAAAAACACACAATATAATGTTTGTCTTCACCACAGAAGATAGTGAACTTTAAAAGCTGCTCAATTAGTCACATTTTAATTGCAATCACAATTTTGGCTTTCCACAATGAAATGATCATGATCACATGCGATATAAAAATAAATAAATGCTCTGATCACAGAAAAACTGCATATATCATTATTATAGCCTCTTCATTTTGATCTAAAAGTGCATTGAATTTGAAAAATGTAGGCTTTAAATATAGGCTGAATACATAATGCAATGTCAATCTGTTCTTCTGTTCTGCATCCTCCATCAACAGGACCGTATCACAACATGGAAGAGAAAGCAGTGATTCTTTGTTTGAATGTGAAAGAGTCGTGCACGTCGCTAAAACCAATGACAAATGTAGATGAAGAATCACAATCTCAATATTGATCAAAAATAATCATGATTTTACTCATAATCGTGCAGCTCTACTTAAAGGTCCCATATTACTCTCCTTTCTAAGACCATTATCTACTAGAACGAGTTAAAACCACTCTTTATTTCTGTCATTCGGCCTGTCTGAATATAGCCGTCTGACACGCTGAGTTATAGCGACGTAATTGCAAAGGGTTCCTTATTCCTTCCTGTCAGCAGGTTTCATTCACATACCATGCAACTGGGACACAGCTCTCAATTAGTCGGTGGAAATTAAATTAATTGTCAACTATTGTGCCAACTAATGAAGCGGGAGGATTTGTGCCGTTTTGAGACGGATGCTTTTAGGTTTTAAACAAAAATGTCCCTTTCGGCAATATTTCACACAGCAAACAACCAAAGTGTCTTTGGATATCACTTATAATATATAATGAAATCAATGATAGTCGCAATGATCGTTATCACATTGTGTTTCTTCTGAACAGAAATGTAACAGCTTAATGACATTGGGACGATTTCAATATCTTCACGTTTGCAGTTCAAAAGCTATTTCAGTATGTTCCTCTTCAATATTTCATTTCTGTGGCTTTATAGTCAGTTTGAACACTTCCTCTTAATTATGAATCTAGGTAGTGGAAGTAAAGATCTGGCTTTAAGATTGGCCATGAGGTGAGTGGGAATGTGCGGTGACCTTCTTTCGGTTCCCTATTTCAATTATGAGACAGTAAAGTGAAATGCCAAGTGGATGTTATCATCTATCCTCATCTGTCAATTTGTCAGCGAAGTCAGACCGCTTTTAACTATATGATATTCTCAAGAAAACTATACATTTGATCAAATAAATTACTACATAAATCATTGAGGGCTATCATAATATCCAAATAAGAAGACATTCAGATCCATGAAGTCAGTCCGCATATCATTTACATGAAGCTGCATGTATTTGTTCCAGCTAACAGCAGTACTGGGGTATACCCGGTGAATGTTCGGTGCTGCTGAGCCATGTTATTGAAATATGATCCCAAAGGGGAAAACAATTCTCACAGAAATAAACTGGGTTTTTTTTGCTGGGATTTCTACGTTTATTTCCTAAATAAAAACAATACTTCACTCGCTGTTCTAAGATGGAATAATAATATGTGAAAGCAGTGATTGTTTGTCTTTTTTCCAGCAAAACTTCCCTTGTACAAGGATTAAAGTACATTCACCAAAGTGCATTCAAAGACAGGGCAGAAACGAGTCTATTCAAGTTGTTTTAACTCCGAAATCTGCGATAGATAGATAGATAGATAGATAGATAGATGGAGAGATAGATAGATGGATAGATAGATAGATAGATAGATAGATAGATAGATAGATAGATAGATAGATAGATAGTAGATAGCATAGCTAGCTAGATTAGATAGATAGATAGATAGATAGATAGATAGATGGAGAGATAGATAGATAGATGGAGATCGATAGATAGATAGATGGAGATTAGATAGATAGATGGCGATGATAGATAGATGTAGATGGATAGATAGATAGATAGATAGATAGATGGATGAGGATAGATAGATAGATAGATAGATAGATAGATAGATAGATAGATAGATGGAGAGATAGGATGATAGATAGACATCGA